AACGCCCGTGGCTTCCCCTGCTTGGTCTTACCCAAGATGGTGGCTCCAGGAACAGCTGAGCATCTTGAATTAGAAATCAATGGAGTTTTTGCTTCTGCTACAAATTCCCCTAGCTGTAAGCCTTCCAACCTTCTAAATATTCCTTTATATGTGGTTAGGAGTTCTGGGACCATCCCCTGAGGCTGCTTGGTCCAGTATTCTGTGTTCTTGCTGACGGAGCTCCTCATTGCACTTATACCCAATCCACCATCTTGTTTGTTCTTCATCTAAAGACTAATTTAAAAACTTAGAACAGGGTTTCTTAGCCTCAGCACAACTGACATACTGGGCCAGGTAAGTCTTTGTCATGAGGTGGTGTCCTGTGCATCATAGACAATGTGACCCAATCTCTGGCTTCTAACCACTAGAGGTCAGTAGTACCACAATTGTGACAACCAAGTTTCTCCAGACACTGTTAAGTGTCCCATGGTGGGCAAAATTGCCCCAGTTGAGAAACACTAGTTTAGAATGACATATAATCTATAACCCATACCTAAAGCTTCCTAAAAACTGAAAAACTTGTATTTTTTGCCTGGATATATGCATTTAGTTATATGTACACACATACATTCATTTGTTTTTCTTCAATCCTGTTTTCTGTGAGAACTTGAGTTATTTATTTTAAATGCTGATATTTTCTAGGAATAAAATATCTACAGTTGCTAAGGGTTTCTCCACTATTCTAAATAGACAGTGGCATTATAGATTATTTTCTAAAATACTATTTTAAAATCACATGTGTTTTCAGAATATCCTGTATTTACTGATAAATAAATGATGAGCTACTTTGCTTAACACAATGAATGCCATATCTTGCTACAAATGATTACTGATATGTTTTACATTAAACCCAGTAAGTTCCGCATTAAGATAAATAAAACTCCACAGATTTTCATTAACTTTAGCTAATCTTTCTCATGGTAGGTTTTCTAAAGAAATCAGTTCTGGCCTGGTGGAAGTAATATCGCCTCCTGAAAGCTATTATCCTGACTTGACAAACTTAAAGGAGACATTTGGAGACTCAAAAGAAAGAGTAAGGTGAGTCATATACTGTTTTAAATCCTTTACACTTGTGAGTATAAACCCATAGCCATTGAATCGATTCTGACTCATCGAGACTGAATATAGGACAGAGGAGAACTGCTCCTTAGGGTTTCTATGACTTTAAGTCATTATGGGATCAGTTTCATGTGTCTGCTTTGGAGCGGCTGGTGGGTTACAACCTTCAACTTGCAGTAAGTAAGCCCAATGCTTACCCCACAGTGCTACCAGAGCGCCTTCCTTGTGAGTATCACTTGATACATTTATCAAGTATGATACTCTCCCTCCCCTCTCCTTGCCAGTAGTCGGGCACCATCTAGTGCTTCTGGTCTCAAAGTCAAGGAAACTTATGTTCACTTTTTCCATTAATCCATTGGATTGTTTCCAAGTGTCTTCAATTCTTACCCCTCCCCTTTCCTCTGCACAGGGAGAGACCAGTAGTTGTACCTTAGATCTTAGGTGTCTGATCATGAGCTTTTAAGACCCCAATAGCTACTCACCAAAATAGGATGTAGAACATTATGTCTGTGGATTTTGTTAGGCCAACTGATCATGATGTCCCCCGTGACTATAAATGTATTTCTTGTTCACTGACAACTTAAAAAATTTAGGGTTGAATTTGATACAAAATCCTAGGTAGACTCATTACATTAAGAACATTTCTTGAGGTATGTTCTGAAGATGTACACTTAGTATAATTTAAAGCTTTAACCTTACTTTGTTTTTCTAAACTGGTTTTATAAAATCATTGCTCTTGTTCAACATTACCCAATTGTGTTTTCATACGCTACTAGGAATTTATGGAAAGGACTTAATACTGTAAATTCTGACAACCACATGGTTTACTATGCCGGGAATGACAAATTGAA